ATTGTTCTAGTATAAGTTCCTAAGACCATATGAAGCATTCTGCTAAATCAGACCAAAGGCATATCTAGTCCAGCATCCTGGTTCATACAGTGGCCAGCCAGTTGCTTCTGAATGTCCATAAGCACGTTAGGATAGTAATATCTCTCTACCATTGTTCTTCCTTGTCTTTCTTCTTCGAGGACCATGGCCACCAATTTGGGTAACTTTGTAAGAGGATTGGGAAAAAATCATAAAAGACAAGACTATCAAAGGCTGCTAGTCATGATAATGAAGATGATTCCTCACCCATTTTCCTCTTGCAAGTGACCCACGGTGGCTACCATGGTCTTCCTCCTCTCTCCATTTTATCTTCACAATGATTCTGTGAGGGAAATTAGCTGAGAGTCCATGATACAGTAGCCTGAAGTCATATAGTGAGCATCATGGACTCATAGAATAGAAGATCTGGAAGGGGCCAGAAGGCCATCAGGTCCAACCCCCTGCTGTTATAGGACACTAAGTTAACACCATCCCACTCAGATGACTGTGCAGATGCTTTTTGAATGTCTCCAGAGTGGGAGAGCCCACAACTTCCCCAGGTAATAGATTGTCAGATTGTTTGTACTCCTCTCTGTCATGCTTCTCTGAGAGTGAAGAAATTCTTCCAGGTATCTAGTCTAAATCTGGTTTCTTTTAACTTATCTCTGTTATTCTGTGGCCTGCACTTTGGAATGGATGGAATTAGATCTTGTTCTCCTTTGTGGCAGCTTTTCAGGTACTTGTAGAGTGCAATCATATCACCCCTCAGTCTTCTCTTCTTGAGGCTAAACAAGGCCAGTTCTCTCAATATTTCCTCATAGGGCTTTGCCTGCGGTCCTTGTTGCCCCCTTTGTACGCTTTCTAGCTTTTCTGACTCTTTTTAAAAGTAAGGTGTCCAGAACTGGACATAGAACTCTAGTGAGGTCTGACTAGTGCTGAGTATAGGGGAACTAGTGCTTCATGTGTTTTGGAAGTGATGCTTCTGTTAATACTGCCCAAAATAGTATTTGCCCTTTTTTTGCAGCTGCATCACATTGTTGGCTCCTGTTTAGCTTGTCATCTACAACAGCTCCAAGACTCTTCCCATGACTGAGTGAGGACTGTATCCTGGGTCTTCTGACTCCTAGTCCAATATTCTAACCACTGTTCCACACTGATAGCTATTTGTTACATCCGGTATCAGATGGAATGTATCTTTCATTGCAAACCATGGTGGGCAGTGGTGTGGGAATATGGGAAATCTCACAGCAAGCACTGTTTGTTTGTTTTTAAATTCATACTTCATGTTTAGCATCTCGTATCAATCTGAAATGCAGAATGCTGAGATCCTCTATCCCTTCTAGCAAGAGAGATAAGCGGGCAAACATGATGCATGTAGGGGCAAAAATTCCCAATTTCAAGTATACACTGATGGGATCTGAGCTAGCAGTGATAAAGCAAAAAGGGGATATTGGGTATATGCTGATGGGATCTGTACAGATTACAGAAAAGGGCAACCAAAATGATCAGGTGACTGGAGCAACTCCCCTATGAGGAGTGGCTACAAAACTGGGACTGAGCTCATAAAAATGTGAATAAGGAGACATGATAGTAGTGTTTAAAATAATGCTTGGTATGGAGAAATTGGAGAAGGAGACATTTTTGTCTTTCTCGTTAAACACTTGAATCTGGAGTCATCATGTGATGCTGATTAGTGGGAAGGTTTAGGATTGATAAAAGGAAGACCTTCACATAAGGTATAGTTAAACAATGGAACTAGTTGCCACTGGAAGTGGTGATGGCCACCAATCTGGATGACTTTAAAAGGGGACTGGACAGATTCATGGAGGAAGAGGCTATTGGTGGCTACTAGCCTTGCTGACTGTGTGCCAGCTCCATCACCAGAGGTGGCCTGCCTGCTTACCCCAGTTGCTGAGGGGCTTGGGTAAGAGGAGTCTTATACCCTTTCTCCTTGAGGGATTTTGTTTATTTTTTTTATTTAAAACTTTTCTAGTCCAACCCATTCCTGAAGTCTCGGGATGGTTTAACAGTACATAATGTAAAAAATTAAAACACAGCATCCTGTGGGCAGCTGGTTTGCCACTGTGTGTACAGAGTGTTGTACTAGATGGAACCTTGGTCTGATCCAGCATGACTTTTCTTATGTTCTTATGAGTGAGGTGGTGCTACGTATAGCATTCAGTTTTGCTTGTGACCTTCCCACAGGCAGCTGCTTGGACACTGTCCCCCCACAAGAACAATGGTAGGAGGTGTTCTTGGAGCAAACTATAAGCAGAATGCTTCCTGACAACCCGGTATAGTGTCACAGGAACATGTCTGAGAGACCAGGACTGGAAACACTGAAAAATAATTTATTTAAAATGAGTTAAACGATTAAACAATCCTGAACTTGCTTTGAATCATGCTTTTGGTATTCCTAGATGGGCCTGTGACATTATGGACATCTTTTGACTTCAGTTTCAAAGACTCTAAGACTGGGGTCCCCAAGATGCTGCCAGTTAGTACTCTTGGGCCTGCCGATATCTCCCTTGGTGCCCACCAGGCTCCCTGTCCCTCCTGATTAAGCAGAAACCATTTTTTAACAAGGGAGCTGGCACACTACAAGGGCCTACCTTCCAGTGCCATTTTTATTTATTTTTGAATGAATGATTTTGTGCTTTGGGGCATGGGTCTCCCTCTGTTTTATACTTAGGTTCTTCAGTAAGTTATTTTTCTTTTAACCTCACCAGTTAGCCTCCTTGGAAATGGATGATTTGTGACCCATATTTAGGAGTGGCCAAGCCACTTGGTGGCAGCCATGTGCTGAGGGCTCGCGCAACAATCTCAAAATTTCAACAGGGCCCACTGAGCTTAGGGTCTCTGCTCAAAGACCAGAAGAGAGACTAATCCGTTTTAGTTGAAAATGAGGTTTGGTGGTTATTCTAGAAGTAATTACTGCTGAATGAAGAGGCATAATCTTTTCCCTTAACTAGTCAAGAATTCCTTGGGCATATTAAGAAAAGACGAGGAGGTAGAAATATGTACGAAGCGCTAGCTCACATTGCCTTAAATTAGGAAATGTTTCCCACCCTAGCCCTCTGGCATAGATTTATAGAAAAACAAGGTTTTCTTATGCACATTATAAACTCATAATGTATATTATTCATCAGAATATAAAAGCATTGAAAATTGTGAAAATGCATTAAGTTTCACACCTTGGAGTGAACTGTTTATTAACATCATTACTTTGATAACTATAACAGCAATGAGCAGGAGATAAAATTCAAATTCTTGTAGCTGAATTTCCTGTGGCATTACTTTACGGCTCTAGAAGGGTTGTTTACAAAGACGATTGGTATTAAGCCACAGGATTCTGTGAAGATTACCACATACAATTAAATTTAGAAAAGCGTGTATCCATGGGAACAACCAGTACCTTACTTGAGAGGATATGCAAATCCTTGTTTGCATTAAGAGTAAAATTCACTGACCTACCCGTACTGTATTCTCAATCAGCAAGAAGATGTGTTCTAAGCCATGGAGGTATGCTAACAAATGTATTGCGCAGCTTATCATTTTCTTAAAGCCCTAACAGTTGGAGCAAAGAAGTCCAATGGTTTCTGTTTAACGAGACAGCTTCTGACTTTTGTGCGAGACGTTGCTGAAATCTTCCCTAGTGATGTTGTGCATTATGGTGATTTGCATAATTCACTTAACTTAATCCTCTCAAACTGCATTAAGACAGTGGTAAGTTTTTCACACTCAAAGAGAAAATAAGCCATAGTGAATTCCTTCTCCTCATGTGTGCCAGTCTGGAGCCATCTTATTAGCACAATTACTGTCACTGGGCAAGGGTTGTCATGACATCAGAACCTGAAGAAGGTGGCTGGCTGGGGTGGCTTTCATACCACCCTGAAACCCCAGAATAAGCCATGGTTTGGGAGTGGTTTGTAATACAGCTCAGCCGTCCACCCTCATTGGAAGGAGACATTATGGCAACCAGAATATGGTGAAAATAATTATACTAATCAGGCAGCTTGTGACAGAAACATGTGATGAGGGAAAATAAATCACTGTGGCCTATTTCCCCCCGTCCCCCCACAATTGTGTGACTCAAATCAACAGCTGGTAGCCTTAACTATGGCCCACTATGCATTCCGGCTTTCCATTTGTGCAGGTTCTGGTAGAAAGATAGAGGGAACTTGTTAGAAAGGTTTTCTCCAACCTTGTGCCTTTTAGATATGTTTCATTGCAACTTCCATAATTCCCAGTCATTGGTCATGTTAACTGGGAATTATGGGAGTTGCAGTGCAACACATCTGGAAGGTACCAGGTTGGAGAAGGTACCAGGCTGAAGCTAAAAATATTTCAGAGCTGATAGATCAGGCTGCCTACCCCATGATAAATATTTTGATTTTAGGGTAGCACTTGTGAATGTTTTAGTCAAATGTTATTCTCAGACTAGTTTGAGTTGCCTGTGTGTGTGTGTGTGTGTGTGTGTGTGTGTGTGTGTTAAGCTTTTGGTATCCTTCAAGACGAAAAGCTGCTTACAAGCAGCTTTTAAAAAATCATAAACAATAAAACCGATAAACCTATAGAACAGGAACCCAGCCTTGTAAATGTTACTATCCTGTTAAAAAATTACTACTTGGGGGCTGACTGGGGAGAGATGGAGAGGTCCTTTGGAAAGAAACCTTCCTTTTTATATGGCACTATATAGATTTTTTGGTAGAAAGGCAGGATATACATTGAATAATAAATAATGACAAGTAATAATATTTACTGGTACCATAACAACTACATTTCAGCAGGAATGCATCCTCTGAATTTTACTCATATAGAGAAAAGTCAAGGTAAACAGGTGTTTGCCTTATCATTTCCATATCAGTTTTGCTTCCATACATTTCTGTTGGGCCTACAGTATGGAAATTATATTTCTGTAAATCCTGTAAATCCTTTCTTCTAGAGAAATAACTCCTTCCTCTCTTCTGTCATCATTTTAGGAGCACAGATTTTTAGCAGTAAGAGCGAATTTCGGATAAGTGCCCTGAAGTTTTACCCTCTGGATCCCAATGTTTTTGTTTGTGGAGGATTCAGTCCAGAAGTTAAAGCCTGGGATATAAGGTCTTCCAAGGTAAACACAAAATTGGAACAAAAATTACTTGCTCTTGCTTGATAAGCGTCCCAGGGAGAGAGAATGCATGTGGGTAGGTAATGATGCTGTTTTGAAGAGGATAATTGGTGTTCGCTGTTGAAGCAGCATGGAAGTGTGGTTTTGTCAATCACTCTTGTCCTGTCTTATAAAAGTAAACAGACAGCTACTGGTTTTGATGTATTCTCTCTCTAAAACAAAAGGGTAATGAAAAAAGAAAGAGTGTGACTACACTAGAAAAGTTTATGTTGCTTTTAATTCGTAGTGTCATCCTACTGCTGGGAGCAGTCAGGGTGTTGTCATAAGTTATTAAAAGAATTTATTTTTGCAAGCAGAGATGGGTTTATAAGTAAGAAATCATCTGCCACAATCATCAGTTGTGTTTGTGTGTTTGCTGTTTTTATGTTTACTTGTAAGGATATTTTATAAGTTCTTAATAATGTTTGTGTCTGGATCTTATATCAGAGAGTTTGTGCATTGAAATACCTCTCTGCCTCTTTGAAAGTCATCTTCATTGAGCATAGTGGGACTTTCAAGAAGACATGTACAGTACTGCATGGTTGGGATATGGCTCAAACTGCTAGTAGAGAGGAAGCTACTTGATGACTAACTTCAAGGTGAGGAGGGCAACTTGTGGCCCTTCAGATGGCTTGGCCTACAACTTCTGTGCTTGCTCACCATTGGCTGTGCAGGTGGATGGGAGCTGTAGGCCCAAAAATCTGGAGGGCCACCGGTTGCCGACCCCACGTTTAAAGTCACGGAATCATACACTAGTCGAGTTGGCAGGGGCCAGTCAGGTCATTGGGTCCAACCCCCTCCTCAGTGCAGGACTCCAAGTTAAATCATTCCTCAGAGAAGGCTGTCTAGCTGCATCTTGAATGCCTCCAGTGTGGAAGAGCCCATGCCCCCCTCAGGTAATCGGTTCCACTGTTATATTGCTCTAGCAATCAGGAAGGTTTTCCTGATGTTGCTAGAATCTGTCTTCCTGTAAATTGAGCCCAACATTCCATGTCCTGTGCTCTGGGATGGTCAAGAAGAAAAAAGATCCTGGCCCTCCACTGTGTGACAACCTTCTCAAAGCTAAACATGCCCAATTCTTCAGTTTCTCCTCACGGGGCTTTGTTTCTAGTCTCCTGATCATTTTAATTCCTCTCTTCTGAACTTTTTCCGGTTTGTTTGCATCTTCATTAAACTGTGGTGCCTGGAAGTGGACACAGTACTCAAGATGAGGTCTAATCAGTGCTGAGTACTTCACATGGTTTGGAAATGATTCTTCTGTTAATGCAGCCCAAAGCATCAGACCACATCAGTTATGAGAGAAATGTTAGAGGCTGCAGGTTTATTTTTTAAAAAAGAGTAGTAATCGTATTGCAAGATGTGCATGACCTTGAGAAAGCAGGCAAAATGTGAGAGCTGGTTGCAACAGACAACTAATTAAGAGATGTCTGTTATTTTAAGGTATTTTAAGAACTAAAGATCTAGCTCTCTTGTACTCACACAGTCTAATAAAAAGGAAGTGTGCGTCTGTTATCTGAATTTCTATCAAGGGGTGGGGCTAGACTTGTAAAGAATAAATTAAAGAATAAATAGCATCCACAATGCCACTACTATTAGATTTGCTGAATCCATTAGCCCTGGAAGCTTCAAAACCTGTTCTGCACAACCCCAGCGCTCCTTTTGTCGTATCAGCATATGTAAAATTTAACTTTAAGCCCATTTTCTTCCAAGCCTTTCTTTCTGCATTCTTACAGGATTTTCATTTCAGCCCCTTTTGATCAATTTACATTTGCAAAGCATCCTATTCAAAGTTTGAACCAAACTAGAGGTGGTGTTAGCAGATCTGTAGGATTAAATATGAATCTGTTTCAGTGATGTGGGAAAGATAGCGGGTATGTTTCAGTTCTGTTTAGCAAAATAGGCCAAACTCTCCCTGGCTCTTTGGTACTTACTCACAAAACAACAACCCACAGTCTTTATTCCTAAGCACTCTTCTCTCAGCCAGTCTCCCTGGGAGAAAGAATGGTAGCAGGAGGGAAGACTGCAGGTGGAATACTGGGGATGAAGAGGCTATCATTCTCATCTCCCTTGCGCCCACTCTGCACTCAGTGGGTGACTTTGGGCCAGTTACAGACTCTCAGCCCAACCCACCTCACAGGGTTGTTGTGAGGTTAAGATTGAGAAGAGAGTGAGAATTATGTAAGCCTCTCTGAGTTCCTTGAAAGGAAAAAGGGCAGGATATAAAATAATCAATAAACATTGGTCCTCAACTGCCCTTATTCAATTTGTCTTTAAACACATGGATCTGAAGTTGTCCCATATAACATATCCCTTAAAGACTCAAAATACCAGGCTGCAATGCAACACACATATTTATATGCAGTGTAAGTGTACAATATTCGGAAGTATGCTACCTGCAAGCAGGCTTCAGTGTCATATATTTCTGCATGTTGATGTACCAGTTTTTTCTCAGAAGATTCATTTACAGCTAGTTCAAATTACTAAGGAAATTCTGAGGGCGATTTCTGAAACTGGTTTCTCCTGTGCAGTGCAGTCCAAAGTTATTTAAGAGTTGAAATTAAGTGAAATTGCAAGCTTTCTTCAAAGCTCACATCTTGGGCAAATTTGACCATTCCCTAATGATGAATGGAGTCTAAGGACAGATGAAAGGAATTATGGCACATATTGCATAATTAAAGTGTGGAATTCACTTCTGCAATATGTAGTGATGGACACCAGTTTGGATAGCTTTGGGGATTAAAGAAATCCATGGAGGCTAAAGCCATCAGTGGGTACTAATTCTGATAGTTATATGCTACTTCCAATAACAGAGGCAGAATGCCCAAGTACACCAATTACCATGGATCATGGTGGCAGGCTGTTGGCGCACTCATGTCCTGTTCTGAGTTTTGTGTAGGTCAGATGCTATTAAGGCATAGCAGAGCCAGAGGTAAAGGCTAATTCAGCAACAGGTAAGGATCAGATCCTGGCAAACATGTGGTCAGACCAGAGAGAAAGGCAGAGTCAGGGACAGGCAGGAGTCAAAGCATTGATAAAGACATTGCAGCACTGGGGACCGGTGTCTACCAGATCAGGAACACACACACACATTATGTTGCTGTGGAAGATGAGGTAGGACAGCCCTTTATAGCATTTCCTGGGGCTTCTGCCTGGTTCCCATGACTGCAGTGGTTCTAATCCCTGTAAGTGCTTACAGGCGTGAGTCCTGCAAGTACTTGCAAAGTGAATCAGGCTGCCTGCTCTGTCAAACCACCAGGGGGAGCCATGCTGTTCTGCAGATCTTGACAGAGCTTTCTTCATCCCACATTATGAAGGCTCTGAAGACCCTGAGCTCACATTCTGTTGTGTAATTTATACATAAATAGACCCCCAGTATCCTCAATCAAATCAACCCAAACATGGAAGCAAAACTGACAAAACTGAAGTTCTCATGCTTTGGGCCCATGCTGAGAAGGCAAGACTCCCTGGAGTAGACAATCATGCTAGGGAATGCTGAAGGCAGAAGAAGAGGAGGAAGACTAGCTATGGGGTGGATCGATTCCTTAGGAAGCCACAGTCTTGAGTTTATGGGAGCTAAGCAGGACAATCAGGTTCAGGATATTTTGAAAGGCATTTATTCATAGGGTCTTCATCTGTCAGAGATGAATTGATAGCACATAACCACAAAGATGTGTACTCTTGTCCTTCAGCAACATTGTCCGATACTGCCTAGTCAAAACAAATCACCAACTTTTAGCCTCCTGCCTTTTATAGGTTCTCCCCCTACCCCATAGACTGTTCCTTTAAAACGGGTAACAAAAGCTCCCCCACCCCCAGATCTGCTTATGAATACCTTTTGTGGGTCTACAAATGATGACACAAAATGATTATGTACAGATCATCTTAATCTCTTGAAATCTATGATCCTGCAGAATTAAATTCCATTGAGGGAAAGGGTGTTTTTTGTTTATTTAAAGTTCATAGGCCAAACTATTGTTATGCAGGTAATTGGTAACCATATTGTTAACAATATGTATTGATAACAATAGGTTAAGCATTGTTTTGCACATTTTTATTGTTGTGCATAGCCTCAGGAATTATCTGTGCTTACTGAAAGTTGAAAACCCTTCTTATGTTGACCGAAACCTTCTGGGGTAAAGCATTCAGCCACAACAAAGGCCATTCATATGCAGCATTTGTCTTGCCAAAGGCACTTTTGTTTGGGGTCACAAAATGCCCCCAGATGCAACCAAAGCTTGGTTTTGTATTGTTGTGGGATGTTAAAGAAGTAGCAGTACCTTTCTGGGTGGGACATCATCTTGGGAATATTTCTTTAGCATGTACTTGGTCTTCTACTATAAGGCAAATGAAAGTCAAGTCCAAAATGTGGAAAATGGATTAAGTGACATGAATTTCATATGGAAACTTAAAATATGTATAAGCTCCCCTTTCTTTTCATTTTTTCCTATGGTGAACCATACTGCAAAGTGAACTCTGGTGTCTGAAGCATTCCAGTATTTGACACTATGCCAACTCAAAAGAAGAAATCACAGTGATTAGATGTGGCCTTAGGAAATCTCATTTCTACCTTGATGTATCCATTGTCAGAGATGTACCCCCAATGAAGACCCAGTAGACGGATATATAGGAAATGGAAGTAAATTGGGTTCCCTTTCAGCACATCAGATTTGTCATTTATAGGAGAGTTTAGGGCTACAAAAGCCAATTTAGAGATCATCTGCTTTATGAAGAATAATGGCAGATAAAGCCCAGTTTCCCTGCAAATCTTCTTCCAATTACTTATCTTTCTGGTTTTTGCCCCATTTGAAAGGTACAAAAACATGATATCATAATCAAATTGCTTCTCGGAGGCTGAAAATGCTTTCACAGAATAAAACGTAAAACATTTGAATGCTTTTTTTGGCTCTTCACCAAGAATCATTTTAGTTTGTCAGAGTGAGCTTTATCCCAAGCTCAGCTGATAC